TATGTCAAAATAAAAGTTGAAAGTTTGAACTTTTTGGTTTTTTAAGATAAATACGTCAAGTTTGGACTCATTTTAAAGGTTGTTTTATGAAGATTACGAATATAATAATAAAATTAAAATTTAATAATTAAATTAATTAGCTAACTGGCCCGAATTTGTAGGTTCATTTTTTTTTCTATTGTAGAATTTCTTGGTGCAAATCGGACTTGAAATCGCATAACGTGATTGGCGCTTAGCATTAACCTTTAAAACAGATAGTATTTTAGGTCTTTCAGTATTCTACATTTTTTCTAAGACGTCATCACGATAAGTGATGTATAACGCGGTCAAACTACTCATCAAAATTAATTTTGAGGTAATCTCGAAACCGAAATACCCCCTTTTCAAAGATAATAACAGCACAGAACAATTAATAACTTAATTGTCAAGACCAGAAACCGAGATGTGACGTCTTGGACGTTCCTTTGGGATCCTCGGGGGAAGTAATCTTAGAGCCATTCCATAGATTGTTCAAGTAGTGCTTTAGACATTTCCATAAATTATTATTACATCCCCATTAAATTAATGATTTAATCTTTTTTTATGGATTATTTAAAAAAAAAATCGTATTTGTCATCGTTGAAAAGGAACAGAATAGAATTTCAAAAACGTGCAAATAGACGTCGATTTGGGTATCGCGAAACGCGCCTTGAAATGGAAAGAACGAGTAGCATCAGCCCCAACTACAAGAAAACACACTCAATTCTATCTACGGGAATCGACGTCGCGTTTTCGTCGTGAAATCGCTTAACGTAGTCGTTTCCCCCCTTTGAATTTTACGAATTCAGAACGAAGAGCCAGATACGAATCAACATAATGCAGCAAATAAAACGTAACTTTTCGAGGAATATGGAAAGAATTTTCTTTTAAATTTAATTACGATCTAAAAGTTTAATTTGAAAGCGGCGTTTAAGTTTTTGATTGTTCGAGAGATTCAGATTTTCAATTAAGGATTAAGACGCCACAAGTTTTAATGTAATAAGGAGCTGGATGCAGCAACGCTAAAATAGGGGATGAGACGTTGACGATGACGTTGAGAAGAGAGAGGAAATAGAGATCTAATCTCCATTCGCCGACGCGACGGAATAATGCTAATAAGTTTTCGTAAAGTCTTAGAATTTCCCAGGTGTTCAGAACTTCAATATGAACTGGACGAAACTGAAAAGATACTCATAAAGCGGGAGGCGGTTAAGTTTCGGGGGATGAAGGGGATCCTTTTGTGCCTTTGTAAGGGTGGCGATTTATAAGCGGCTTAAGCGATATAATATGCAAGGGAATCCGCGAGGTTTTCGAGAGAGTTTCAATTAAATCAAATCCCTCCGAATTCAACCAGCTAATAAAATACCGCCTTTATTCGGATTTATTAAAAAAAATTATTTTTAAATTTTTGTCTTTCGAGTCCGGTTCTGTTTGTCGCTTTGGTTACGATGAGATCTGTTGCGCCCCGACGGGCAGCGTCGAGACGCCTTTGGAGGTGGGTCAACGCCGTATCGCGTTCCCCACGTTTGAAAAGGGCTCAACTTCCGTGAACTCTGCCACGGCCCCGGGTGCTGATAACTCTCCAAATGGACAACAAAACGTGTCCGCGAACAGGAAGTTGGACAACCGTAATGAAACCTCAACCCACACCTTGAAATACACCACTCCACGATGATGTTGAATAGAAAGTTTTTTAAATTCAATACAAATTAATAACAAAAAACATTTTTACTACAACAATAACTCGGTAAAATTATCTATTATATCCAAAAAACTTCAACTAAACTTCATTGATAACAAAAAAATAAATGAAGTTTTCCAAATAAGAAAAATTTGAACTTAAGATTCTTAATTTTAGTTATTTTAATCTTAGAAACTATTACATCTTTAAAGAATTTTATTTTTACTTGAAAATTTATTTCAACCTAAGAAACTTCAATTTTTAACTCAAAATATGATATCAAATACCAAAGACTTCAACAAAACCTTCATTTTAGATCGAAAATTATATAAAATCTCCTTTAAATTTAATCTATTAACCGAAAATCTGATTTTAATCCAAAAAACCTCACTAATCCGGAGAAACTTCATTGATAACTAAAAAATAAACTTAAAAGTTTTAAGTTTTAATTCAAATTTGCTTCAATTTGGCGAAAAATGTAGTTTTTGATGCAAAAACCTTCAATAGAATCACATTTTTTAAATGAAGTTTTCGAAATACGAAAAATTTGAACTTAAGATTCTTAATTTTAGTTATTTTAATGTTACAAAATATAACAAATCATTTTTACTTGAAAATTTATTTCAACGGAAGAAACTTCAAATAAACTTCAATTTGTAACTTAAAATATAACTTCAAATATTAACGAAGCTTTGTTAAAACCTTTATTTTTGATCAACATTTTAATAAGAACTAAATAAACATCGTTTAAACCTCAATTTTCAGCCGAAAATATAATTTTAAACCAAGAAACTTCAACAAAACTTCACAAATTTAGGTAAATTTTGTTTGTAACAAAAAAATAAACTTATCCAGACTTAAACACCATCTTTTTTAATTCAAATTTAGATTCAATTTGATAAAAAAGGAAGTTTTGATGCAAGAAACTTCAATGAAGTTGCATTTTTTAATTGAAGCTTTGACCTACGAAAAATTAATGCACAATAATGAAATTTTTCTTAGAAAATATAATATCAACTGGAGGAATTTTAATTTCTAATCATAATAAACATTTCTAGTAGAAATCTTCATCAAAACTACACGAATTCAGAAGTTTTCAACTTCAATAGGGAAAAAATTAATGAAAAATTAAAATTGTACCAAGAAATCTCATTAAAAAACAGGAAAAAGTATCTAAAAATTTCAATTAAACTTCATCAAACATTTAGTGAACCTAAGAAACTTTATGAAAACAAGAAAGCTTCATTTTTCTGCAAAAAAATATGAATAAATTAAGTCTATAGGGGGAGAACTTCAATTTTTATTTATTTATTTGTCATGAATTGAAGAAATTTTGATAAAACTTCGTGGGTGCATTTAAATTTAAGCGAACTTCATGGTACTGATCAATTTTTCTCAAAAAATATTACTTGATTTTAAAAAGCTTCACGTTGAATTGAAGTCTTAGAAGTTTTAGAAACATTGATACAACTTCAACGAAACTTCACCAATCAATTAATTTTAGCTAGATAACAAGATTAATTTATAAAAGTTGCAGTAAACCTCAATTTTCAATCAAAAACTTTACGTCAATAAATGAAACTTTGCTAAAACTTCAAGGATCCAAAGAATTAATTAAGTTTAATAAGAAAATATATAACAACAATTCAAAAAGGTACAACTAAAGTTGAATTGTTAATCAATTATTAAGGAATAACAGAAAAACAACAGGAAAGGTTGACAGAACTTCAATTAAACTTCCTTGTCTAAAGAAATCACTAATTTTTATCGCAAAATGTAACATTGATTCAAAAACTTCGCATCAAAGTGAATTTTCAATAAAGTATATAACATGATATCTAGAAATTGTGATAAAACTTCATTGAAACTTCATAGATCCAAAGAATTTTTATCAGAAAATATAACCACAAATCAAAAAGTGTCAAAAAATGCAAGTTAAGCTGAATTTTGGATCAAGAATTGAAGATCAGTCCAAGAATATTTGATCCAACGAAACTTCATGGATCCAAAGAATTAATTAAGTTTAATAAGAAAATATACAGGGTGTCACACAAAAAACGCCCCAAGCTGTAACTCTGTCATTTACATTCCGATTTTCATGAGCAAGGTATCAAATGAAATGGTTTGATGAAAACTATGATTCATGCTATAAATAAATTTCTTCCAAGGCTATCTTCAATTTTAAACGATAAGTAATACGTATAAGATAATACGTTTAATAAGAAAATATACAGGGTGTCACACAAAAAACGCCCCATGCTGTACCTCTGTCATTTACCTTCTGATTTTCATGAACGAGGTATCAAATTGGTTGGGGCGTTTTTTGTGTGACACACTGTATAACATCAATTCAAAAAGGTGCAACTATAGTTGAATTGTTAATCAAATATTAAGGAATAATAGAAAAAACAACAGGATACGTAGACAAAACTTCAATTAAACTTCATTGTCTAAATAAATAACTAATTTTTATCGCAAAATATAACATCGATTCAAAAAAATTTTGCATCAAAGTGAATTTTCAATAAAATATAAAACATCAAACAAAGAAATTGTGATAAAACTTCATTGAAACTTCATAGATCGAAAGAATTTTTATCAGAGAATATAATCACAATTCAAAAAGTGTCAAAAAATTCAAGTTAAGCTAAATTTTGGATCTAGAATTAAAGATCAGTCCAAGAATATTTGATAAAACTTCTTCAATCCAAAAATGTGAAATTAAAAACATTCATTAAGACTTAATTTTCAATTTTTAAACTATTTGAAGCATTTCTACCAAGTTAATCATTTATGGATTAAATAAATATTTGTGTTTTTGAGAAAATTTATTTGGCAACTGCTTTTCCGGCGCCTCCACCAAAAATTGTTTAGAATCAAAATAATTTAAAGTTAAATTTCTTTCTTAGACGATTCTTATTCATGATTTTTTTTATTTTTTAAATGAACATTAAAAGCGGATTTGAACACGTCACACGATTCAGTAGGACAGACGTTTTTCAACAGTAAAAAGCTCGTCTGGTCGTCCCAGTCCATCTCCCTTAACAAAAGGAGGGCCCAGAAAATGAGAAAAAAACACGGACAATGAGCCGTCAGTGAGTACGGATCCGGCCATTCAAACGCACGACCCATTGTTTTCGATTTGTGTATACGTGAGCCTGAGTGCATTGAGGCCTCGAATATTTCCCTTCCCCTACTAGATGGAGGAGTGCGTTAACAGGACCGTATTCTTCGCTATTTTCCCAAAACTTTCCACTTAACTTTATTTATTAATTCAAAAATAAATTTTTTTCATTTTCAGATGAACGAAGCTAATTTACAGCAATCTCCACCTCAACCCCTCTCACTTCCGGGGAAATCCACAAAAACATCTTTATCGGAATTAAGAAACACCGATTTAGTTTCAAGATTACTCGCAGCCACACCTCCTTATTTATATAACATTCCTTTAACACCAAATAGTTATTTCTTCAGCGAGATGTTGAGATCTTTAGTTCAAGCGAAAGCTGAGAATTCCCAAAGGCAACCTTGCGGAATGTCCGGAGTTGGCCAAAAACGCGCCAGAAAAAGATCTTGGACCCAATCATCAAGAATTAACGAATTTCAACAACACCAACAACTTTTAGAAGAAAGCGTCAACAACAAAGAACGACCATTAGAATTAACAATGGGAAAAAACTTACCAACGACCTCAATGAGTCAAGAACAACAAAATTTTTTCGCTAATCCTCAACCATCATGCGACCAAAACATGATGTTACCACCAGTTTTACCCCCAGTTTGGTATCCCCCGATGTACCACCCAAGTAATCCAACAAATCCTTACGGAATAGATCCGTTACATTTCTTCATAGATCTTAGAGTTTCCGGTCACATTTACGACCGAAAAATGAACAACCACCAAGAAATGTTACATTCTTACCAACAAAATCAAAATCAACAACACGACGAAGAACAACAACGCAATAAAATCGAACGAACCGAAACAGATTCAAGACAAAGAGAAGAAGAAAATTTAAACCCACTAAATTATTTCCGAGTCAACAAACACTCCTCGGCTTTTTCCGTTCCAAATCAAAAAAATCCAATGAATTTAAGCAAATTTGAAACAACGGAAACAAAGCCGACTAAGTTTGATGTGAAATCGATGGGTTTTGAGAAAAATGAAAATAAAATTGGATCGCATTATATCACGAAGAATATTCGTAAAATTTACGATGAAGTTAAAAGTAAGGAGGAGGAGAATAAAGTTGAAAGTAAAGTTGAAGTGGAAGAGACGAACGACGAGGAGGAGAAGGAGAAAAAAAGGGTGAACGATTTAAGGGCTTTGATTGGATTGGAACTCGTTGTTGATTATATGGAACATTCAAAACCGAATGAAAATAAAGCTACTTTTGAAGATTCTAGTTCTACGGATGTTGATGATTCAGTTGGGAGCCCTTCCGTTGATGTTGAAATGTGTCACGATGAAGAAACAACTTAAATTATTCATATTTATAGTTAAAACGTTAATAAATCTTGGAAATGTATTAATCTAGTCAAGATAATGTTATTGATTAATTAAAATCGTATGTAATGTAATTGTAAATGTCTAATGAGGTTGACTTTTTGATTTCTTAATAAATTAATGTGAATTATCTTGCGTTTATATCATTAAATTTAATAAAATTAGTACTTACTTGAAATAAATCATCCCAATTTTCTTACATCTTAAAGTTAGGTTATATTTTCTTCATACACTGGATTTAAGAAAAGAAATCACTTTGTAGAATCTAAAATCACGTTAAATACATAGTTTGGGTGTTGATGTAAGTATTTTGATGGGGTTTTAGGCCGAAATTACTTTTTTATGGTAAAATTTAACAATTTTAGGAAGAAATACGATAGGTTAACGAAAATGTCAAAAAATAATCGGATAGTCTCCGCTAGATGGGGTTAAAAATTGTTTACGGAAGAAATCTTATTCAATTTAATTTATTTTTATAAAAANGTTTAGCCGTCTTGAGAGACGTGCGGCTAAACCCGAATGTTTCTAGTTCTAGGTCTAGTGTTAGTTCTAGTTTTACACTAGCACTATCACTAGAACTAACACAAGACAAGACCTAGAACTTGAATCATTCGGGTTTAGCCGTCTTGAGAGACGTGCGGCTAATTCCGAATGCTTCTAGTTCTTGGTCTAGTGTTAGTTCTAGTTTTACACTAACACAATCACTAGAACTAACACAAGACCTAGAACTAGAATCATTCGGAATTAGCCGTCTTGAGAGACGTGCGGCTAAACCCGAATGTTTCTAGTTGTCGGTCTAGTGTTAGTTCTAGTTTTACACTAACACAAGACCTAGAACTAGAATCATTCGGGTTTAGCCGTCTTGAGAGACGTGAGGCTAATTCCGAATGTTTCTAGTTCTCGGTCTAGTGTTAGTTCTAAGATAGCGCTAGTTAGCATGATATATTACTATGTTGTATATTTTTATTGAACTAAAACTAGAACTAACACTAGACCGAGAACTAAAAACTAAAATTAGTACTTACTTGAAATAAATTATCCCAATCTTCTTAAATCTTAAAGTTAGGTTATATTTTCTTCATAAACTATATTTAAGAAAAGACATCACTTTGTAGAATCTAAAATCACTTTAAATATATATAGGTGATGTAAGTATTTTGATATAACTTTTTGATTAACTTTTTTATGGTAAAATTTAACAATATTAGGAAGAAATACGATAGGTTAACGAAAATGTCAAAAAATAATCAGATAGTCTCCACTAGATGGAGTTAAAAATTGTTTACGGAAGAAATCTTATTCAGATTTAATTTATTTTTATAAAAATTTATTAATTAATAAAATGAATTAAATAATTAATCCATTTTATTTAAATCAATTAAAAAATTATGTTATTTTAAATAAATATATTTAAGTAATTTTGTTTATTTAAGGTTGGTAAAATTGAAATCGGCCATTTGGTGTTTATGTCAAATTTTTGAATTCTCAACGTTATAAACTTGGTGTTATATTTTGTTATAAATCCACCCCTTTTGAACTCTTAAAGTTTTCAAAGGATTTCAAAAAATCTTTCCGGTAAGTGTACAACATGCAAATTTTGTGGGTTGGGGCGTTAATATTTGCGCGTTAGAGGTATGTACGCGTGGCGGCGTCGGCTCGGATGCTCCGGTTCATGAATATTTATAACCGGGCCGAAGGGAGAATATTTACACATATTTCCGGGACGGACTTGCGAATATAAGCGAGGCCCGGTCCGTGTGTGTTAATGCGTGGCTCCGGTCGCATGCCCCCGGCGGCGTAACCTATGCTAAAACCCCCGCACACATCCACACACACACGTCTCCATTTGCATACGTGGTTTCGACAATGAACCATCCACCGCCCCTACCCCCCACGTCGGAATCATCCCCATGGAATCGCGGCAGCATCCCGTTTCAGCCGCACGTTGCGACGGCTTAATTTTAATCGCATTAAAATTTGCAATGAAACTGTGCTATAATGATACCTAGAACAACTGAAAATAGAATTTTGATCCAATTTTTTTTTTACAAAGTTTTACATAAATCCAACTCAACAAAGAACCTTCATCTTTCCCATCTTAAATATTGGCTTCATAAATATCTCGAGAGGGGCGACTAAAAACGTATTTTTCCTCGTAATAATGGTTGTCATTTGGTAAGTTGACATCCTCGCGGCGATTTATGACTCGGCACATAAATTAAGAAACTTTCACCGCGATGAGTTTCGCAAAGAACAAGAATTTCTCAACGGAAACTTTTGATTCGTTATTAATTATCATCATTTTTTATATTTTATTTTGTGATAGAGCAGTCTTTCTCGAAGAGAGGCCTACAGTTCTTGGTCATGTTTGTTTTGTGCTCGTTTTTCGTATAGCTCTAGTCGTGGTCAAGTCATTGGTGTGTGCGGAAGTGAAACTAATAATGCATCTCGTAAATATAACTTTTTAATTGTGCGTCGTCCTAACGATGAAGCTTTTACGTAACTTTGGAATATCCAAGATGTATTATCTGATGTAATTGTGTTGTTTCTTGGTTTTATGTTTGGCTTATAAAACTGCAAAATAAGACTTGAAATACCAATATTACCTAAGTCGGTGCGAAGTAATATTGAAAATGTTAGACATTGATGATGATTATACTAAACAAATAAAAAATCCTAAGAAAAGAAAAATTTGCGCCATTTCTCCCTCATTATGTGCAAAATGTCATAAAAGTCTTTGTGGTGAGCACAAAACAGAACTTTGAGCTACATATTATACTGTAACTACGTTCTCATGAGAATATGTTTACTTTTAAGTTAATACTTAAAGTAACAGTTTCAAACACAAAAATTTTAATATTTTGTAGGTCCACCTTGCAAAACCAGAACTTCCTGGACTCGTCTTGACAAAGAAAGAATAAGATTCTCTGTTACACTGACTGGTATTTCAGCCCAAGCTTTGTTTAATGCATAGGGGTATGCTTAGGTTAGTTGTCTTGTTGAAAGATTCACCAATTTCCAAGCCCTAAGCGCTCTGCTGATTTTTTCAAATTGCCTTGTAATATTTTCAAATACCGTCTATGGTTCATGATACCATCAATAAAAATCAAGATACCTAGCCGAGAAGCCGCCATCGAGCCCCAAACCATTACCGATCCTCTACCACATGTTTTGGTTGGGACAAATTTTTTGCTTTCCGCCAAATTTTTCTTCTACCATCCGATCCGAAAATATACTTATTTTCGTCAGTAAATACAACTGTTTTCCAAAATTCAAAGTCATTTGCAGGATATCTTTTAGCAAATGCAATCCTTTTCTGCTTGTTTTGTTGAGAAATCAAAAATACAGTTTTTGGATGCACGACTTTATGGGTAGCTTGTTGAAATTCTTCCGCCAGATTCTTCCAATTTATTTAATACACTTCTATTTAAATTAAAATTTTCAAACAATTTGGATTGTTGTTCGACTTTGCCAACAGTTTTAGCAATTTCACCATATGATTCAACTTTAGTATTAAATGGCGAACTTCAACCGATATTTCTTTTCTTCCCATACTATTCACAATTTTAAATAATATAATATTCACTACTAACGTAACTAGAAACTATAACATAAACTTTTTAAACATAAAATAACATAAATATTTACTAGAAACGTTTGTGTAAGGTCTTTAGTATCAAATGCATAACTGTATGTTGATTTTTGTGAGGTTTATCTGTCAGTATTCAATTTTTTGCTTTGTCTATGGAGCAGTTGGTTTAGTTTTATTTTATGTGGCATGCTCGTCAATAATTACAAGTAGTTTTAGATGTAATGCAATCATGAATGTGGAATGGTGTATGTAGACTTTTGTAACTAACATGTCATCAAAACAATCAGTAAAATCCGAAATAGGCTATAAATTGGCTATCAAGAAGTACTTGTTTGATGCGTTTTTATAATCTGTGATAGTGTTTTTGAACACTATTTGTGAAAGATACAAAATTGCACGACAATCTCATCACATCAAAGAATGATATTGCGTACTTGGCAGACTTGTATAAATTGTTTAATGATATCAATCTTCAACTTCAATGTGATGACTTAAACTTGATTAAAACAAAAAATGTCGTTGCTGCTTTCGTAGCCAAACTGCTTTTACATAAGAAAAATCTTGGCAGACGTGAGTTTCACAATTTCCCTAATTTATCAGTGGCATCTTTTAACAACGACGATTTGCTTGTTTACTGCCAACATTTTTCCAGGAGAGATTTTAAAATTGGAAATACCAGACTGTTGGATTGTTTTTCAAATGTTAACACGCACGGCTAAACCCGAAACTTTCTAGTTCTAGTTTTAGTTAACATACACCAACTACTACACAGTTCAATAAAAATATACAACATAGTAATATATCATGCTAACTAGCGCTATCTAGTGCTACTAGAACTAATACTAGACCGAGAACTAGAAACATTCAGAATTAGCCGCACGTCTCTCAAGACGGCTAATTCCGAATGATTCTAATTGTAGGTCTTGTGTTAGTTCTAGTGATAGTGCCAGTGTAAAACTAGAACTAATACTAGACCAAGAACTAGAAACATTCGGGTTTAGCCGTACGTCTCTCAAGACGGCTAAACCCGAATGATTCTAGTTCTAGGTCTTATGTTAATTCTAGTGATAGTGCTAGTGTAAAACTAGAACACTAGACCTAAAACTAGAAACATTCGGGTTTCTTCGGGACAGCCGTCTTGAGAGACGTGCGGCTAAACCCGAATGATTCTAGTTCTAGGTCTTCTGTTAATTCTTGTGATAGTGCTAGTGTAAAACTAGAACTAACACTAGACCAAGAACTAGAAACATTCGAGTTTAGCCGCACGTCTCTCAAGACGGCTAAACCCGAATGATTCTGGTTCTAGGTCTTGTATTAGTTCTAGTGGCAGTGGTAGGCTAGTTAGCATAAGATAACACTATGTTGTATATTTTTATTGAACTAAAACTAGACCTAGAACGAGCAACCAAACTAAACTGGGCCGGAGCTCCATCATGCATAAAGTACATGTTTTGTCTTACTTGAATCGGTACATCTTCCAGCAGCTCCGGCAGTACTTCTTCTAGAAATTGTCGATAATCTGCACCGTTTAATCTGTTCGGTAAATGATCACCGACGATGGCAGCCTTCTGCCATCATCTTCTGCCCATATGTGGTTATTGTGAAAATTGATCAGTAAACAGAACTTCAACTCCAAACTTAGGATTTTGAGCTATTTTGTCTTGCATCCATGTGCAAAAAGCCAATCTTGGCGGAAAATCTCTTGGCAATAAGGCTTGTACTCTTTGGATATGGTAGGGATACAAAAGTTGCCTTTTCAAAATTCTCCAAACCATCGAGTGAGATAGGTTTAAGTTGTGAGCAATTTTCTGGTACTTGTAGTAGGATTTTCATCAATTTCGTTGAGGACAGCCTCTTCTACTTGTGGATTTCAATTTCCATAGGCCGCCCATTATCCGCAGTATTCCTTTTAAAACTTCCATTTTCCCATAGTCGTTGGTGAATGCGTAGAAACAAGTTATGGTGTGGTACTGGACGATCAGAATGTCTTTCTTGATACAACCGCCTTGCTTCTGCCGAATTACCGCACGCCATTCCGTAAAGGTAATGTATTTCGCACATTTCAGCGTTTGTGTAATTCATTTTTAATTTTGTAATACAAGTTTACTTTTTGCAGGTACAAACTAATTGTTATTTTGACAGGAGGTAGCTTATGTTATAAAGTTTAAAGCATTTTTTTTTTATTTTACAATTATGAAGTTAACGACAATTAAAAGTTTAATTGTAAAATAAAATTTTTATTTCAAGAAATTGACCATGTTTTTCGACATAAAAGTTGATTTTTCTACAAAACTGTCAACTTTAGAGCTCATGACCTACAGTAGGACCTGCAGTATATTCGCAAAAAACGATTTATTTTATTAAATTTCAACACCTTGTATCTTCAAAATGGTGCATTTTAGAGGGTAAGTTGATAGAAACTTTTTTTCAAATTTTTTGATAAGCTATCACATCCTGAAGTCCTGCACATATACTATGAAACACCCTGTATAGCATGGTTAATAAGGATTACATTATTTGACGTAGTACATAAAGATATGATCTACGGGAACGATTTTTAGCATTTTCAAAAATATGTCTATTATCAGTTAACTAAGAGACATGGATTTTGTTCCCTATTTTTTACCAGTACAGGTATGGGTTGACTTCTCGCGCAGTACCCGCTTGACATTCAGATTCTGGACACCTGTATATGGTCACAAACGGAATATTATAAAATTTTAACACAGAATCAGAATCAAGAATACACATGAATATTATACGCCAATATATGTATGTATGTAGTTTCAAGTGAGGTTGGTTAAACCCAAGGTTTATATATAAGAGGTTGTCTAGGTTCGTACGCAACCATACTGCGCATTACGTCACATGTGGAAAATAATACCGCCAAGCAATTCAAATTAAACAAAGGCATGGCGCACCACATGGCCATGAGGTTGCGTGCGCAATCCGTGATCGCTTACGTCATGAAACACTCCTGCTCTTGCCCCTCGCCCACAAGCTAAAATCAAAGTATTGAAGCATAGGAACTCAGACAACCTTTAATATATAAACCTTGGGTTAAACCATCTCACGATTTACTTCGGCCATGTATACGTCTATTTGGAGGAGTGAAAGATGTTCGAAAATGGCATCCGATCAAGCTGATACCGCTTCTCGCCTCGCCTTAAGCCGGGCTGGTACTCCAACGCCCAGCAACTTAAAGACGACCCTCAAGTCGGGCTGGTAACTCCAACGCCCAGAAACTTGGGTGCATGGCTGAGTACCGCTCAAAGAGCGCAGACGCGCTTTCAACCCGTTTTTACGTTTACAACCTCCAACTACACATGTATCTGACGACCAAGGTTTATATATAAGAGGTTGTCTAGATTCGTACGCAACCATACTGCGCATTACGTGGCATTACGTCACATGTGGAAAATAATACCGCCAAGCAATTCAAATTAAACAAATGCACGAAGCACCACATGGCCATGAGGTTGCGTGCGCAATCCGTGATCGCTTACGTCACGAAACACTCCAGCTCTTGCCCCTCGCCCACAAACTAAATCAAAGTATTGCAGCATAGGTACTTAGACAACCTTTAATATATAAACCTTGTCTGACGACAACCAGAGATGTTAGACTGGTTGCCGGGACCGACGGCTTAACGTCCCCTCCGAAGGACGGGGAGGCTACATTCGCCCCCCTACGCCAATATAACTAACGAAAATATTGTGTATTAACGATTTTTCTCATTGGTTATGTTAAAACAGTGTGATTCCCCGTATTCTGATTCAATAGCATTTTACGCCACCTATTACGACGCCATCTACCGTCATCCTGCGTACAGTACGTATTTTTAAATTAAATTACAGATTTCTAAATTACCGAACATTTTTGTATGGTATTCACCTTTAGATCGTACATTTAGTGGAATTTCCGTACGTATGGCAACACTGTCTATGATAGGGTTATTTTTAAGTTTAAAATGTGTTAACTATATAATTCGATGCGTCACGGTTGGAATGATTCTATTCATGAAATTCTCTCGTTGTTTCGAATATATTGTGAAATTAATTAAACCTAACAATAAAATTGGGAATAATGAAGGTGAATAAAATATTAATTGATAAAAAGGGGGTTTATTTTTTATCAAAATTACACAAAGTAATAATTAAGGTAAATCTAAACGAGGAATTATTATTATTACTGGCAGGAGAGAAATTCGAGATTTTATTTATTCGATTTTTTGATTATTAATAAAATTAAGAATGTTTTTTAGATTTCTAAAAATAACCCTTTAATAAAAATGATGAAATAAAATTAAAATTGTTACCTTATCTTTATTTTTTTGTATCTCTGCTGTTAAAGAAGCAACTTTACTTCTCTCAATTTCAAGCAGGGTATGTAACTTAGTAACTTCTTCCATTAAATCGTTCTTAATTGTACTCAATCTATCCAATTCTAATAAAATATCAGCCTTTTCTTTCACTTAAAATTAAATAATTAATTATCAAATTAAATTTTTTATATTTCAAAAAAAAACTTACAATCGCCTTCCTCTAAAATCTTAATTAACTCCTCATTTCTACTTTTAACATCAGCCAATTCAACTTTTAATAACACCACTTCTTTATCCAATTCATCATTTTTATCAAGTTCTAATTTTAATCTCTCCTACAATTTTATTTCCAATTAAAAAATGTACTAATTGTTACAATTTGTTAGTACAAAGTTTATTAACACAAAGTTCATTTAAAATAATTGATATTTACCTGGTACTGAGAAGCAGTAATAACCTTTTCAATGTTAGCATTTCGATTTTTTCTATTTTCAATCAATTTCTCCTTATTCAATTCTAAAACCATATCAGAACGAACTTTATCAAAAAAATTCAAATCTGTTTCAATTTTTGAATCGGAACTTTTTAAATTAACTTCATCTAGGAAAAATAAAAAAAAGGATTCCAACCAAAAAGGTAAATAAATATTTTTTTTTACTTTTAGATTGTTCTGGTTCCACTAAAAACTTATCCAAACTAATTGTTTTTGTACCCTTCTTTTTCTTTTCCATTTTTTTATTTGGCTCAGTAATAACTGCAGCTGCTTCATAAAGCGTTTTTTTCTCTTCATAATCTAACTTTGATAGTAAGATAGCATTTTCTAAATCTTTTTGATAACTTCCATTTACAAACTCACTATCTTTTTGTTTCCATTCTTCCCATTGTTTTTGTGGGGCTATTTCACCTTTTTTCTCTTTTTTTGGTATCACCACCTTAAAATTAAATTAATTAATAGGGATTTTTAAATTATTACATTGTAAACATTGTTTAAACCATCTCAAGGCTTGAATAATCTAATCAGAATCAAAATTAAGTTTTATTCAATTTTCTTTTCAAATCAAGTTGATTTAATATACAGAGTAAGTCCCTTTTAACCAATTATTCATTATTTACCTGTTGTTTTTCGATTTTATTCTCAACCTTTTCCGGTTTATTAATTTTTTTGTTCTCAGATTGTGGTTTATCAGTTTTTTTGGATTTAACTGATTTTCGATCATTTTTTTTCGGTCGCTCTTCGTCACCTTCAATTTTTAAGCACGCAAATCGCGAGGGTACCGCTATATTACTCATTTTACGCTAAATTATGAATTAATTGCACGTAAAAGTAAAAATAACAATCAGAAGCTGTCAAATTGACATAACCTAGAAATTTTTATCAATTTAGTTTTGCTACTAATTCATAGATGGCGCTTATCACGTAATTTATTTATCTATAAATATTAATGTTTTTATAACAAAAAGATAAACTTTATCAGCACTCTTAAATTTACGTCAAAATAACAACTTGCACATTTTAATCTTTCTAACTTAAATATAAAAACTTTAAGTAATAATCTCATTATTTTAATTCTTCCTTTAACAGTTAACTAATAAACATCATTTTTTATTAACAATTAAATATAGTAAATATGTCGAGGCTTGATATAATAATATTTGGGGCCACTGGATTTACTGGAAGAAGAATCGTGCCGCGTCTTCACGAAATATTAAAGAAAGAAAATTTAAATTTAACGTGGGGGATTGCTGGGCGTTCGAAAAATAAACTTAAAGAAGTTTTAATCGAAGCTGAACAAAAAACTGGTTTGTTTAATAATAATTTTTAATGTTATTAGTAACCCTTTTAAATCTTGTAGGTGATAAACTCGATGAAATTGAAATTATTGAAGCTGACATTAACAATGAATCCTCTTTAAAATCGATGACATCGAAAACTAAGCTCCTAATAAATACAGTTGGTCCATTTCGATTTTATGGCGAGCAAGTTGTTCAAGCTTGTTTATCAACAGGGACTCATCATTTAGATGTAGCCGGGGAACCACAGTTCATGGAAGAGATCCAATACAAATATCACAAAATCGCTATGGAGAAAGGGATTTATTTGATAAGTGCTTGTGGTATGGATAGTATTCCTGCTGATATGGGCGTGATTCATCTTCAAAATAATTTTGATGGCACTTTAAATTCGATCGATAGTTACCATTATGGCGTTGAAGAAAACGGGCCGCATCCAGGGCCGGAATTAAATTATGCCACGTGGATTTCGGCGGTTTATGGGGTTGGTAAGGCCAAAGAATTGACGGAATTAAGGAAGAAATTGTTTGCTAAACGACTTCCGAAGTGTTTGCCACCACCTCAGAAACGGTAATTATATACTTTATAAATTTAAATTGTAATTAAGAAATTATACTAGGTTAAATTTACCTTAAGAGTTGTCCGTGTATATTCTTAGTATTGGCTAAAAATCAGTGAGATCATTTCTGAAATGGTGCTCATCAGCAAAAAGCGCATCGATTTTAAACCACTGAAATTTTGAGATCACTCATAATTCCCATCTTAAAACATCTATTGTAACTTATATCCTCCAAACGTTTAGGGCAAATGATGAACCTTAGTATTGCTCCAAAGTCTTGTTTCTTTATGTCGGTATGTGTCAAAATATTGATAACAATGTTGGTCACCATGTTGTTCTCATTATACTTATCGGACGAAATTGAAATCCTACAAATAATAAATAATTTAATTAACACAACGACAACGGGTAAAGATGAAATACTTACGAGCGTGCTAAAACATTCTGCAAGGTACTTGGTTAAACAACTAACGCATCCTTCACTGACGGCGGTTTTCCGGATGAGATGAAAAGGACAGTAATAATCTCAATCTATAAAAAAGGAGACAAATTCTGCTATGATAACTATCGTCCAATAGCACTCATATTCTAGAATTGGAAGCTACCTGCCTTCCAATTCTCCAACCATGATTTAATCTATTGTGCTCTGCGGGTGCAGCATCTGAGTCGTTCTCGGCGTGTTGTGACTTACCGTGATCTAGGGCGAGTTGAAACTAATTTGCTCTTGTCAGATGCATTGATGATTGATTGGCTTCCACTGTATCGTTTAACAGATATTGATGCTAAAGTGGACTACTTTAATTCCAAAATCATTAATCTCTATGATAAACATGCCCCACTTAGGCAACGCAGGATGAGGCACCCGCCTGCACCTTGGCTGAGTGATGAGATAAGATCTCTTATGCGACTGCGTAACCGTGCAAAGTCCGTAGTTAAACGTACACCCTCTAGTGCTAATCGGGAAAAT